TACTGTACAAACTTTGAGGTTCTTTTACCCACTTTCATTTATTCTAATCAACTTTAGTTACCCGCCTATTACAAGATTTGGATTATGATGTGAAATATAATCAAGTTTTAAATCAGAACTTTAAGTTCTCACCTGGAGTAAAAATTCCAAACAAAGGTACCCTGAGCAAAGTGCATTCAGCTGCAACCTTCTACCAGCGTTGAAAAACACTTTTTTAATGATCAAATGAATTATCAACAAAAACATACAATATATATATTCTTAAATTGGACCATAAAGTCCTTCTACCATTATGGTAGCTGATTATTAATGTTTATATCGATGCTGAAATGACTTTCCTACTTTGTACTTTGAGTAAACATTTTCGATGCAGGACGTCTTTTACTCTGCCGAACAGAGTGAATTTCAATCTGGTACTTCTCACTGTTTACTCAAGTAGCAACATCTCGAGTACTTCTCCACACCTCTGCACACAAGTTTCTTTGAAATGTGTTTTAATTTATTTAATCAACTGGGTCTCAAAATGGTTGTTTGAAAATATTAAAGGTTTTAGTTATTTTTTCTTTTTGCTTCCATTAATCGTCTCATGGCCTCTTCAATTTATATTGTGACCCCTTGCAGAGGGCCAAACCACTGTTTGGAGACCACTGGAAATAAAAAAAAATTTATAGAAATATATCAGTTACAGAGGTCCACTTTCCGAAGAATGTACCTCAACTGTAATACAGTATGAAGGAGTTTTTAACAGTGTTGTATTTGCACTTTTGTTTAAGTAAAATATCTGAATCTTTGACTTCTTCAAACATGGACTAGAGTTACAGTAAGGATAAGATATGAATCCCAAAATGTATTAAAACAAAAACCACGAAAAGGCACATTTATTCACATGTTATCACTATTGGAAATAAAATATTGCAACTTTCCCTGAGCTGATATTGAACATTTTGTACTCCTCAAAAATAGAATTGTGTGACTTGACTGGTAAGGCAGCATGCATTAAATTAATATTCATCTTTCAAGTTATCTAGTTTGTGTGTTATTTATTTTAAAGCTCTTCTGCAGGCAAAAGACAGGGGAATAATGAGAGAGAACATGAGTCAGAAAAGTAATTCACTTGATTGTTGGTAGTCACATTATCTCTTAAGGGCCCATGTCATGCTTTTCCGGTGATTACCCGTCCCCTTGTGTGTTATGAAGGTTTTTATGCATGTACTGTAAACGGTCTGCAGAGTCACAAACCCTCAAAGTACACCCTGTAGCGAGTAAAACTCTAACACAGAAAATACCTGTCTATGCTGCCCCAGAACGCCTCGTTGGAGATTTCTCTTTTTCCATTGTTTTCTTCCTGGGTTCTGTGACGTGTGGACACCCAAATCAAACACCAAATGACCGGATTGGCCCGCAGGCCTGGATTGGCCATCGGGAGGACCGGGAGGTTTCCCGATGGCCTGGCCTGTTAAGTGGCCTGCTGGCCTGAGGAATCTATTTTTATACGTATGTATTGTGAACGCAACGCTGCGCAAATGTGGGTCTGACTCTGCCTCAGAGAGGGTGACTGGCTGTCTACATGTGGCCTGCCGACATGGACTCTTTCATACAGTTCATACACTAATGCCCTCGATTGGTCTCTGTGTGTCATTCAAGCTCGGGAGGGTGTGTATGTGTGGCGCGATGGCGCTGGCGCGAACGAGCGAGAGAGAAAGCGCGCGCACCGGTTACGTGTAGTGTTGTTGTTAGCATCTGGTGCTAGCTAGCTGCGCTAACGGATATAATGAGCTGTCAACAAGGTGGAGGAGAGTCCTCTCCTGTCAGACTGAGAGACTCATAACTACAGCTCAGGTGAGGTAAAGGACTCTGAGTGTTTATGGTTAACTTAGTCTAAGTTAAGAAATAATGAAAATAAAATAAGAAAAAGTATCACATAAACAATTGTAAAAGACTTAGTCTTAAGGTTCGACTCCCAGGGGGGACTCTCTCCCAACAAAAACGGATGGGGTCGCAGTGGAAGGTACACATTTATGTAAACATATAGTCTTGGTCATGGGAAGGGGGTGTCGATTTAGTTAAAAAAATGATGATACCCACTTTTCATAAATTTAGCATTTAAATGTATACTAGGCACTTTGTGATAAGAAAAGGTAATAAACATTTTTAAAACTTTGAATAGCTAACTAGTCTTTGCTGCTGCCTCTAAAGGAGCAGGGTATCGGTGTAGAAACGGTGATTACGCTGGTTCAGGTGCCGCAGAACTCAACGCAAACTTCAAATTGAAACCGAAACAATAAATGTCGTCCTTTGTATTTATGTTAATGTGAAACTATGTTTTAATGGTGCTATTAAAATATCAATATTATATTATACACATTCTGCGCAGGGTGAAAAACAGAAACCATCA